TTACTCCCCCCTTCCTCTAATGATTTTGTTGCCATGTTTTTATGTACCATTTCACTTGATTTCCAGTCCCTATCACCATAGAAAAAGAAATTCATTCTTCATCATTTCTACAGTAGTTTCATCTAGATGTTTCGTTTCATCGAGGTTTGTTTTCAGCTTTTCTTTGTCTTCCCTTGAGAGGTCTTGTCTTATTGACCAAAGTTTGCGATCACTTTGCAATTTCTTAGCATTTCTAAGCACTTCCGTCATATGTTTCATTCCATTAAATGTCATCCTTAAGAGCTTCATCTCCTGGCCAACGGAGATTTAGTGCAAGAAAATGGACCCATAGTGGTGGCGCCCGTGTGTATGGTGGATGTGGTGGTGGACATTCTTCTTCTGCTGGAGAAGAGGAGGAATGGTGGGGGTTGAACTGGTAGGAGACATGTGATCAAGTCTGTCCAGTGGTCTCTCTGTAGTCTAGCAATCTGTGGCACAGACTCTGTGCAGCCTGTATATTACAGCTTTGTCTAGCCTGATAGCATGTCAAACCTGACAGCATGTCTAGCCTGACAATATCTACACCCATGGAGAATCTACACTACATGGAGAAATGTCACAAGTGGAGTACCACAGGGTTTAGTTCTTGCACCAGTGATGTTTATTGTGTACATAAATGATCTACCAGTTGGTATGCAGAATTATATGAACATGTTTGCTGATGATGCTAAGATAATAGGAAGGATAAGAAATTTAGATGATTGTCATGCCCTTCAAGAAGACCTGGACAAAAGAAGTAGATGGAGCACCACTTGGCAAATGGAATTTAATGTTAATAAATGTCATGTTATGGAATGTGGAATAGGAGAACATAGTCCCCACACAACCTATATATTATGTGAGAAATCTTTAAAGAATTCTGATAAAGAAAGAGATCTAGGGGTGGTTCTAGATAGAAAACTATCACCTGAGGACCACATAAAGAATATTGTGCAAGGAGCCTGTGCTATGCTTTCTAACTTCAGAATTGCATTTAAATACATGGATGGCGATATACTAAAGAAATTGTTCATGACTTTTGTTAGACCAAAGCTAGAATATGCAGCTGTTGTGTGGTGCCCATATCTTAAGAAGCACATCAACAAACTGGAAAAGGTGCAAAGACATGCTACTAAGTGGCTCCCAGAACTGAAGGGCAAGAGCTACGAGGAGAGGTTAGAAGCATTAAACATGCCAAAACTAGAAGACAGAAGAAAAAGAGGTGATATGATCACTACATACAAAATAGTAACAGGAATTGATAAAATCAACAGGGAAGATTTCCTGAGACCTGGCACTTCAAGAAAAAGAGGTCATAGATTTAAACTAACTAAACACAGATGCCGAAGAAATATAAGAAAATTCACCTTTGCAAATAGTGGTAGACGGTTGGAACAAGTTAAGTGAGAAGGTGGTGGAGGCCAAGACCGTCAGTAGTTTCAAAGCGTTATATGACAAAGAGTGCTGGGAAGACGGGACACCACGAGCGTAGCTCTCATCCTGTAACTACACTTAGGTAATTACCCAGTTTGTCTAGTCTGACAATCTGTCTACACCCAGTTTGTCTAGCCTGACAATCTGTCTACACCCAGTTTGTCTAGCCTGACAATCTGTCTACACCCAGTTTGTCTAGCCTGACAATCTGTCTACACCCAGTTTGTCTAGCCTGACAATCTGTCTACACCCAGTTTGTTTAGCTAGACAGCATGTTAAGCCTAACAGTCTGTCTAAACTGATAATATCTAGCCTCACTGTGTAGACCGTTTGTCTAGCCCGACTGCCTTATATTGCCTATGCTCTATGGGCTGATTTCACAACAGGATTAATTAATTTTAACTTATGATATGATGGGACACCATCATATCATAACTTTTCCACCAATCTCTGAACTGTTCCTCTATCCAAAGCAAATCCATACATCCGCTTTCTCTAGCGAACTCTTGTTCATTGAATCAGGTGAGTAAATCCGGCCTGGAAACTGTGCGTTCCAACCGGAGATTCACCAAATCGAGGTTAGTTGAATTGAGTTTCCACTGTATATACAAGTTTATATACAAAATTCCTTTTAGGAAATTTTTACCAAATGTCAGATGTTTTGTATTAGTTGACTTAAGGGGGCGTCTGGTTGGCATCTGGGTCCAAAAATGCAAAAATGAAAACTCATTCGATTTCAATCAAACTTTTTTGACAAGTTCTATATGAAAAGTGTTTCATCTGGTCCATAGCATTGTAGCATAAACAGGAAGGGAGAAAAAAAATATTGAAGTAGTTGTGAAAATTATGCAAAAATGGTCAAAATCGATTATCAATCAAAAGTGTCAACTGAAATCATAACTACAACTCTTTGCTATCACAATAGCATATATTAAACAAATATTATTATTAGTTTAATTGGAAAAAAATTTTAAGGAAAAAAAAAAAAAAGGATTTTTTTTTTTTTTTTTTTTTAAATATTTTTTTTTTTCATTTTTTTTGGGGCGATTTGCATCAAACTTACACACCTGACTGTACGTAAGCCTATCTGTAAGGATGCCTATTTTGGAGAAAATTGGTTGATGTCAACCCCAGCCACAGATTTTAGAACCTTAGACTTTATTCATTTCTGTTTTTTTTTCAATTGACACAAACGTTTACAAAACTCATTCTTTTTTTATTCAATTTACATGAAACTTACACAGTATATGTGGAGGGCATGTCTTTACATTGGGGGGCTTTCATTTTTCTCTAAGTTCATTTATTGATTTTATAATAGCAATAAACATGCCATATTTGCAAAAAAATTTTGGGGAACTTTGAACATTTGTATTAGGAAAACTAAAGATGTTTTGGAAATTCTAAATCCCCAAATCCTTTATTATATGCTAATGTGTCAGAAAAGTGTCACAGAATAATTTTATCTGAAACGTGTGTTCTGAAGTGTGGACTTGAAAATGTGTAAAAAACGTTCAAAAAACAAAAAAAAAAAAAAAACTCCCTTTCTATTTACGCTGCAGTACTGAAACTTGGGACAATTTAAGCACTTTTCATATACAACTAGAAAAATAATATTGGTTGACATTGAACAACTTTCATTATAATAACCAGACGCCCCCTTAAAGCCCCGCTGACCCACTGGCATTAGCGCTCATGTGTCAGAAACACTGCATACATGATCGTGTCAGCCGTGTCATGAAGCACATCAATGTAACAAATACTGCAAGTACAGTGGCAGCATTTTGTGTCTTTAGCACAATTTCAACAGCCTGAGGATGGGAGTTTACTCCATTTTTGTATATTGTCATGTTCAAAGTTGTCACCCATTACAGTAAACACACTTTCATCTGAAACACTACACATGCAATATCTAACTCTCATTCTGCATGGTGCAACGATAAAATAAAAGTGTTGAAATTCAAATTTGGTGTTTCATATGTTTTATGAACTGAGTGTTTATTAATATTGTATTGTATATGCTGTATAAATTCTGTATACATTTGAACCATTGTATTTTGTGAGAAAACATTTCATTATGTAAATTAACTATTACACTTAGGTAATTTCACGCGTATGTGTGTTAGAGAGAAATATATATAATAGATATAATAGAGGAACAATAGATTGGTTAGAAAGGTGGGTCCAAGAGCTAATAGCTCAGTTCTGCAGGCACAAATAGTAAATACATGTCAAACTACACAAGGGCCCATTGTTCTTGACCCTTATGCTACTGCTGCTGTACTGTATTTGAAATAACACAAACTTTTCTATAATATATAGGAAGTAACATATTCTCTAATATTAATAGATAAATTACTAATATTTTCTTTGCATCTAGGAATCAGTAACATTACTGATTTACATAGTCAAAGTTTACATTCTCTTTTATGTCTTAATAAGTAATCCACTTGCTATATATTTGAATCAAAGAGAGTGTTTTTTTTTTTTTTGTAGCTTATTTGACCTTCAGAGTCAAGTATTGACAGTAGAGGTAGCACCTTATTACCTGACTGCTTTATGCTAGCCGCCACGAAGTAACACAATATTGCTTGTCCTGTAGTTAAAGTGATAAGCATCTTTAACAAAGATTAACACTTTAGTGCGCGCGGCACTAGCTGGAAAAAATAGCGGGTTGTGCGCGCGGCGTTCTGGGCGCTCAAGCGTAAACACAAAAAAGTGTATAATCTTTTCACGCTCCTAACATCAATTCTCGAGCTACGTTTTTCATTTTGGTATCAATGCGTTGGCAATAAAATTCTCTACAAGATCATATGCATAAAATGTCACCAAAGCATTTGCTATCCCACCACGAAGTAAATAAACACGAAGATGACTCTCCGTGACACCCAAACAGGAAGTAAATGTTCATACTCTTTCGTTTGTTGCCAGCCTTCCAGTCATCCTACAGCGCTTATTTTGATATCACTGAACTCGCAATAAAATTCCCCACCCAGACATATGCCTATCAATGTCTAATTATGTTCCCCACGAGTGTGGGAACTGGGCGAAGCGTTAGCCGTGATTTCAGCACCGACGACACTGTTGTGATGCAGCGCTTTGAAAGTTTATACTTATTTCACTGTCCTGACAATATTTCTTGAGCTACGTATTTCATTTTTATAGCAATGTGTTCGCAATAGAAAGTTCTATAAGAACATGGGTAGAATTGGCCAACAGAGCGTCAAATAAATTTGCGGCGAATAAAATCTTACGCAAATCTTACGAGTGTTTGTACCCGTGAGCGTAAAAAGTTTTTACTTTGCTCATGTTTTTTCAAGTTTATACTTGATTCACACCGTTTTTTTTGTTTGTATAGTGTTCGGAATAAAAGTCTCTACACAGACATATGCATATAAATGTAGAATCATGATCGCGGCCAACACAAGAGTGTGTGAAGTGGGCGATTACCCTCGTTGTCACCAACTCAATAGTCTCTCCTCCAAGTTACAATACATTGCCGTTTTCTCAAATAGGCACTGTGCCTATTAGAGAAAACGAAAATTTATTGGCAAACATATTCATACAAACCCCAAGTCGATCGAGTAGTAAATACCCAATATAAAACACGGTCCGTAAATTTACGTCGTGATCCGACAAGCGGTTAAGCAAAACGCCCGTAATTCCAAGTGGAAAATCCAGCAAAATGTTAATTTGAGAAAATCAGGAGCCGTGAGGAGGATTTGAACCTATGCTCTGGGTACTCTAAAGCAAACGCCTTAAACAACTACACCATGCCATGGTAAAAGGATTGCAACCAGGGATTGAACTGAATTCTCTAGGTGCAAAGATTAATTTAGTAATATTCAAGAACTTGTGCAAGTAAGAAGTCACATCACAAATAGAGAATATTAAGACCTTTCTCTAATATTTAAAAGGAAACAAGACTGAAGGTTGGGGGGAAGGGACAGGTATTTACGGAATTTATAGTAGGAAACTCTTTAAACATAAAATAGTTATTAAAATATGAGATGGAATTCTAATTAAATACCAACAATTATTTTGATTTTAAGGATTCAAACAATGTTTAGATTTGTGAATTACATGTTTATTTTACACATATAAGAGGACATACTACTACCATATACAGTAATCAATTATCACTTCTGAATTTAAACAGCTCTCTGTAAAAAGAGTAATACTGAGATTAATACCACACATTGAAGGTGATGGACACCTCACACACCTTCATCCTTGACAAGATTCAGGCATCCTCCTGAGGAGTTGAAGGCATGTAAGAACATAGTTATATCATGTCAAATAATTGTTGTAAATACAGGCACTAGATGCAGTGGCACTACATGCTCACTCTCACAATTACATTACTTAACAGAATTACATTTAACTTACAATATTTACTGACAGTAAAATTTAATTATTTAATATATAATGTCTGTCATTACATCAGCAGAGAAATAAGAATTATCAATAGCTACATAAATTTAGCAATAAAATACAGAACATTTAAATCGGGAAAATACTTTGGATTTCTAGACCAACATGACTTTTCACATCAATACATTGTAATTTGTGCAGGAATATATTTTAAAATAAAAAACTTGTCTTAAGTGCCTAAAACAGTATAGCTAAAAATATCATAAAAGCATAAGAGAATTTTATGGACATGCATTCATGTTAGCATTCATTGTCTAAAATTCCTTTCAAGAATATAAAAAGTTAAATATGAGTCTTCACTCAGCAGAGAAACTACATCAGTGTTCAGTGTGTCAAAAAGAATTTACCAAGAAATCATTTCTAACAGATCACATGAGGATTCATACCGGAGAGAAACTATATCAATGTTCAGTATGTCTAAAAGACTTTATAAACAAAGGACGTCTTATAATGCACATGAGGATTCATACAGGAGAGAAACCACATCAGTGTTCAGTGTGTCTAAAAGACTTTATACACAAATCACATCTTACAGTGCACATGATGATTCATACAGGAGAGAAACCATATCAGTGTTCAGTATGTCAAAAAGATTTTAGACGAAGAACACAGCTTGCAGTGCACATGAGGACTCATACAGGAGAGAAACCATATCAGTGTTCAGTATGTCAAAAAGATTTTACAGCAAGACGAGGTCTTACAATGCACATGAGGAATCATACAGGAGAGAAACCATATCAGTGTTCAGTGTGTCTAAAAGACTTTAAACAAAAATCACATCTTACAAAGCACATGAGGATTCATAAAAGAGAGAAAAATAAGTTTTCAGAGCCTCAAAATGACGTTACACAAAAATTAGACCTAACGCAGCACCTAAGGCATACAGGAGAAAAATGTCATTGTTCATTGTGTATGCAGAAATCAAATCTAACAGAGCACATTATGATTGATAGTGGAGAGAAACCATGTAAATGTTCAATATGTCTAAAAGACTTCACAAAGAAATCAGATCTAAGAAATCACATGAATATTCATACAAGAGAGACCCAATATAAGTGTTCAACATGTCTAATAAACTTCACAGAGAAATCAGATCTAATAAATCACATAAAGATTCATACTGGAGAGAACCCATATAAATGTTCAGTGTGTCTTAAAGATTTCACACAAAAAAAAAGTCTAATTAGGCACATTATGATTCATACTGGAGAGAGACCATATAAATGTTCAATGTGTCTAGTAGGCTTTAAAACAAAATCAGATTTAATAAGGCACATAAAGATTCATACACGAGAGAAAGCATATAAATGTTCAGTGTGTCAGAAAGACTTTCTTCGAAAAGAATCCCTAACACAGCACATGAGAATTCATACAACAGAAAATATCAGTGTATTTAACATTTTAATTGTGCAACACATCATATGATGTGTTGAGTAACTTGCAGTAACTTGCGCTCCACATCATATTATGTATTGGAGTACCGCCCAAGATTTGAAAGGCCTGCGGGGTAAAGGGGGCCTCCATACGCTGCCTAGGGGCTATAGTAAACTGCCGCCATTTTGTAAAAAAATCCAGCTCACGCTACCATCGCATGGGAGGCATCAGTTACCCAGCAGCCACCATGTCGAGCGCACGGCCGAACGCTTTCCGGATGCGCACCACGCAATCACTCATCCAAGAGCAAATAACCAGTGAATTATTTTCTGATGGTGAGGAAAGTGATTTTGATGACTCCGACATTGATAAAGACTACACACAATTGACCGATGATAATAGCACGGACAGTGAAAATGAGATGCAGCCACCTCCCATGGCGAGGCCTATACGCTTACCCATGCCTCCTCGCCCAGTGTCTACTCCAATCCACCCTCGACCACATAGTTCCTGTGCTTATTTAGAGTCTGAGGATATTTTCGGTGATGAGTCAGAGGAAGGTGACTCTTTTTTCTGGTTTTAGTGAAGTGGAATCAGAATACAGTGTTACCGAGCCTGGTGCCAGTACCAGTGGTGTTACTGGGCAAGAATTTGTCGCGTCAGCAGCGTCTCGCCCAGCCAAGCGCCACCACATGAAACAACATGAGGCACCAAGAGCCTCATGTTCACGTGCTTCCACCTCACGTGCACGTAGCGGCCGTACTGTGCGTAGACGGGCTTCAGCTCCTGGTCCACGGTGTGCATCGCTTCCTCGCCATCGTGCCCCTGTTGTGTCCCCTGCGTCTCGCAGGACACCAGGTGTACTAG